GAGGAATTCGGGAAGAATGTTGTTTCTTTTGCTTCTTACTGAGTTCAAGCATGGTTGCCGCTACAGCACCGACCACTCAACTGCTTTTCTCCATTCTCGCGGGCCACTGAGAATAGAGCAGCCACTGCTTTTTTCCACCCGAGATAACAGAAAGGGTAATAATTTGTTTGAAGAGCCAGACTGCTAGTTACAGGCGCCCCACGTCAGCTCCGGCACGACCGAATTAATGGCCGAGGGGTCTGTGGATAGACTCGGCCGGGCTGGCGCGGCACCGTAGCATTACTGATTTGCTCTGGTGGTCGAGGAATTTTCGCCAGGCCTGGCAAGCCCTGAGCTGGCAAGGACAGTGCCAATGGTCGGGTGACGGGTAGAGAAAGGAAAGAGAGCAAAATGGAGGTGTGTGTGACCTACACCCACGCAAGATGCGTCATCCTTAGGCCCATTAGAGCCGAATTTAATGGCCAAGTTCTGTCGCCCGGGGCGTATTCAAATCAACAGCCGATGAGACTTGACCTTGTCTGCCGCCGCTCCTCTGTAATTTCAGCACCAATGTGACCAGGTGATTTTTCAATTATGAATCACACCGTCTCTCTCACTTAGTCCCCATAAAAATACACTTGCAGTGATTAGCAAAGGTTGTAATTACTTAATTTGCTGAGCGGTGTAATGTATAGAGCCTGGCATGGGCAATTAAGCCGGTCAGGAATCCCGGCTGTGCTGAAAGTGGCAATTACAGTGGACCGGTGTGAAATCGACTGGCCGGCGTTGGCCCACCTACTGCGAGGCGATGAGCTTCGGCCGCCGGCGGATAGGTGGCGCCCTGTGCGAGGTGGCTGTCGGCGACCCTCCGCGCCACGAGCGCCTCGCGCATCCCCGGGCGGTGCGTCACGTGGCATGCGTTGGCGCAAGCTCGTGAGGAGTGGCTGATAGTGGATCGGTTTGGGGTTTGAATGCGCTGGGTAGACCAAACACGGAGCTGACGCTAGGCCGGTTTGGAGGTGGCATGGTTTGTGTGTGGGAGGGTAGCGTTGTGGGTGGTCCCGACAATACGATGCTGCCTGCTGCACTGGAGCAGTCATAGCTGAATGGTGTGTGATTGCGGAAATGAGTAAACCGTACATAATGCATACAATTTTAATCTCTCACCGTTCTTCCATCAACCAATATTCTAAAGCACCAGAACCGTGTCTTTAAATGGGTGGCCGCTTCGTCAAACGTAGTGACTAACTTTGTTGGGTATTTGATCTTACTGCGAAATCTGCTCGCACCGATACAGTGGGTATGATTTTTAGAATGTTCAAATATAAAACTTGCATGACTCATAAGGCTTTGGAGTGTTGGAGGTACAATACGTTAAAAATATGGCTTCCATCTAAAATTTTAATTACAATATTGAAGTGCAGCTGAAATGTTTTTGCCCCCAGCACGGTATTAGATAGACAGGAATGAAGATGTTACATGCGTCACGTAACTGACGACCAGCAAAGTTGAATCTAACACTGCTAGTCAATGTGTTGCGTAATGGCCAAAAAATCGATTGCTGGAAATAGCAGCGATTTAGAACACGTGACCACAGGTACCTAATGAAGTTGATAGTCATCATGTTGGCTTAGCCCACCACACGCTTTAAACTGACCCCAAATCGCAGTACTGACATAAAAAACGTCCAAGATGAGCAAATACAATAGCAACATTATCACAGCAGCAAAACAAAATAACAAAAAAACTTGACGAGGCACAAGATTATTTTTGTAGGATTCAAGATTACAAAATTACTATCAAGACACAAAAGACATAAGATTACTCGGGGAAAGTACTGTTGGTACAATTTGAGCATTTCAAGTGAAAACCGTTTGAACGAGACTGCTTAAGCCATCTTCTAGTTAATCTTCAGGCAACAACTTCTTTTCTGGGATTTAGTCCGAGCCTTTTGAGTGGGTGAATTTCTGGGACCAGCACCCACGCCAGGGAGAGCCTGTCACGTGAGCCCTGGTCCCGCCATCCGATCGGGAAATTACAGGCTAACGGCACAACTTTGCTCCAAAAGATTACCATAGGGTTTTACCCACGGACTGACACGAGGCATTAGTATTACAGATGGAATACCTGTCCAGGCTATCGCCATGGCCTGGTGAGCTAGTATGTGTACAGCGCTGTGGCCGGCTAATTCTCAGACCCTGCTTAGTGTTATCGAGTCCTGGGCAGCCCATGCCAGAGTTTAAGTTTCAGCTATGTACACGGCATAACTCAAATTTTCTCCCTGGAATGTTTGGGATTCGAACCGGTGTCTCCTGATTACGAGTTCAGCCATCTAACGACGAAGCTGCCATGAAAACATTAACCTGCCGCGATGCTCGACATCGCCCGTGCCGCCCCCTGACGACCTGAAGCGATGCTCGACATCGTCCGTGCCGCTCCCTGACGACCTGAAGCGTTGCTCGACATCGCCCGTGCCGCCCCCTGACGACCTGAAGCGTTGCTCGACATCGCCCGTGCCGCTCCCTGACGACCTGAAGCGTTGCTCGACATCGCCCGTGCCGCTCCCTGACGACCTGAAGCGATGCTCGACATCGTCCGTGCCGCTCCCTGACGACCTGAAGCGATGCTCGACATCGCCCGTGCCGCTCCCCTGACGACCTGAAGCGATGCTCGACATCGCCCGTGCCGCCCCCTGACGACCTGAAGCGATGCTCGACATCGTCCGTGCCGCTCCCTGACGACCTGAAGCGATGCTCGACATCGCCCGTGCCGCCCCCTGACGACCTGAAGCGATGCCGTTGCCATCAGCCGCAGGCCATCCCAGTCAGGGGCAAAATAGTGAGCGCCTCACGCGACTGATGGCTCTAGGAGACATGCAATTGACACCCTGACAATTGCAACGACGAAGTGGTGGCAAGGATGTCATGGCAATTGCAGTAGCGATGTTAAGGAGCCCATGGCCTCCCCATTGTTACCTGTACCGTCATTTCAGGTAGGGACCTAAAAAAAAACCAGCTGGTTGGGCTTCGCCAACACTCAACATCTCGTTCGTGATGCAGGTGGTCTTCTGTCTGGCTGGCGATCCCAGCTGGCTGAGAATGGACGCCGGGTGGTTCTTGCAGTTGAGCTACCGACACTTCAGCCACATTATTATTCCCTCGGCCTCGATTTTACAAGCATGGACGTATGGCTCTTAGCTGCCACGGTATTGCCTGACAAAGTCTGTCGTGCCCAGTGCGTGCTCTTTAAGTGCTGCACATGAGTTCATGGTGCCATGTGCTGGCTTGTGGACATCTGTTGGATTTCCATTAAGATATGGGACAGGAATGGGACACTTATGGGGCTAATTGCTCTCATTCTGACGTAACTCAAATGCATAAAGCAAAATGTAATCCCATAGTAGGCTACACTGCCATTCCACTAATGCTTATAATGAGCTCTGGCAATTCATTACTGGATAATTACTTAATACACACACGGTCGATAAATACAACTTTGCAAATGTCTACTCGTAAGTGTTACAACGTTATCTTTGCATCGTGCCCTATTTCCACTAAAACATCACAAGTTCAGAAATTCCCTGATAAGATTCTGATTTAGGATTCACAAACATGCTGTCCACACCTTAACTTTGTGCCAAATTATGTTGGGCATTAAATTTCAGACAAAAAGAATTTTGGAGGGCGCTAAGAAGCCCATGACCAGATAAGATGCCCGGCCGACAAGCTTCCTGTGGACGTGAAAACCCAGCTCCAAGTTTCATAGGCGACAACCGAAGGCTCATTTTCTTCACTGCCAAAATGCATCCATACCCTGCCTCATAAAACCCGCACTTCCCGAAACAAACGAGTCGTGCAGTTTTGATCTATTTTTGACAATTTTGTGGATATTTTTATCAAATCTGGATGAAACGGGACATGCGTTTGGGGCACTGGGTCGGGAGAAGTCCCTTAAAAGGCAAGTGCCTTAAATGCAAGTCTTCTCTCCTGTCGAAAGTGTTTTCCATTCACATCTACAGTGATAACAAGCCCACATACGAGGAGTTTTGTAGAAGGTAAGTGTAAGTTGATCAGTGCATTAGCGAGGAACATTATTCACAAAGATGAGACAATGGCGTTAGCCTTGTTCCTCGGAGAAAAATAGGAGAATGGAGATATAGTTGGGTCGATATTTCTGCAAAAAGCCTCCATCGAAACAATAGCAGAAGTAATATTGCTTCGATAAAGGCATGTTGGCGAAATATCAACCCAACCATATCTCCATTCTCTTGGTTTTCTCCGAGGAGTAAGGTTAATGCTACTGCATTATCTCAGAAGGTAGGTGTCTTTGATAGCCTCCAAAAGTGGGCATCTCTCTTCAATGTAAGCATGCATATTTCTTGCTTGGGATTGTTGACATGAACGTACGAAGTAAAAGAACAGACGCGCCCGTGGTTGCTCTCCAAAATCCACATACGCTTACTGGAGTAAGCAAATTACGTTACGGTGTTAGCCTGACATCCTGGGTTCTAAATGCATCTTCACCGACATTCTGATATTTATTCAACGTTCGTAAATCTCAAATGGTCACGCGTTGCCTTTTATAAGGCTCTCACAAATTGCGAAATATGTTGACCACTTTAGCCTGTATTTCTGCTGAGACACACTTATAAACCCTCGACCGTAGCATGTCTCCTGAACAATAAAACCTCGCTTACACACAGCAGCATGCCCGCTGTTGGTAGCGTGTAAAGTCGTAACGAGTTATCTCATCTGCAACATCCCGCCAAATCTTCACTTTGCCAAAACTCTTACATGCCCGGCACTATTTTACGAATGAAATCAGAAGACGGTTGCCAGTGTCACGGGATGTTTAGTGAGCCCGTATTCAGAAGGCTTTATTCATCCACATTTTGTACCTTGCTGATGATCCACAAAGGTGAAAAGCTCTTCTATTGCAGGGATGCTTGTCACGGTGAAGCAGGTTAATTTAACAACGCAGATAGACCTGCTTATAAGACAGCAAATGCAATGCGTTTTGAAAACGGTATGTGTACTTTATTACAAATTTGCATATACAGACATAGCATACATTCGCTGTAAAAGGCTTAGATTAGCATCACAGATAAAGATCACATAACTTTGACAACAAGTGCAGATACAGCAATTTGGCCCGCGATGAAAGGAATATTACATGCCTGCAGCCATTCCAAATTACAGAATCACATGCTGGTCTCCAAAATTCAACCAAAGGTGCGGTCAAACCTTTTGTCTTTTGCTGTGCAAACACGAGCACCATGATAATTTAATCATATCTAACAAATGCAATATGGCATGACCGAGAGACCGCCTCAAATGCTGTTACAGAAAATACCGCGCATCATGCTCCATCAAAGCCATCATGAAAGGTGGACTCGTTTCCAAGTTCAAAGACTTCTTTGGAGCCCCGGCCACTACGAACTCATATATCCACACACTACTTGGAAATCACGACATACGGCTAGTTCAGCAACAGCCTTCCGTGCGACACGACCAAAGCGGCAATTTGGCAGCCTCTTCTCTGAAACCCGGTCCCACCCACGGCCGCGTCCCGGCCGGCACCAATGTGCCTGCGGGCTGTCGGTCCGCCAGCCAGACCTCAAAGCAAGTGCGCGACGCCTGCGCGCGCGGCCGTGGGCGTTCTCGGTTGGCACGCGGTGGCGGCGATAGCGACGGCTTGCTCGCGTCCGCCCAGCCAGCGCTGTTTGCCACCTCGGCCACAGCCCGCCTAGCTCGGCTATTTACACGTGTACACCTCCGTCACGTTGGTGCACTGTTGGCAGTCGACCTTGAAGGTGCGCTGCTGCCAGAGCACGTGGCAGTTGCACGAGCTGACGAGCGAGCGCATCTGGGTGTTGTAGCCCCGGCCGCAGCAGAGCACGGCGCAGTGACTGCCCAGCTGACACTGGCGGCCCGCCGTCCCCGGCCCGTACACGTCCCGCTCGCAGAAGCTGGGTGAGCTGTCACTGAACACGAGCTGGCGGCGTGGCCCGACGGCGGCCGGCCGCTGCCGCCCCCGCCCGCGCCGCCGCCCGCGCCCTCGCCGCCGCCGCCGGCTGATAATGGTGTTGGTTTGGACGTTGACGTCGCCGGCGAGCCGCCTTTCCGGCCGCCCTTCCGGCGCCCGGCGCACCGCCGCCTCGTATTTGCGCTTAATGGCGGTGCCGGTGTGCGCGAAGGGGCCGACCTGCTTCCAGCAGGTCTGCAGCTGGCACGAGCCCGAGACGCCGTGGCACTTGCAGCGCGTCGTCATGCGGCTCATCAGCGTCTGCGGCAGAGGCTGGCTGTGTGACGTCACCACATGGCTGGCCGGGTGACGTCATGGCATGGCAGGGCTCAGAGGGCGCTCCACCACACTGAAGCCGATCGGCTGGAGACCTGGCACTGCAGCACCGCCGAGGGCACGCCACTGAACGAAGCTTGGGAGGGGTGAAGAGCATACGTGACCTGGAGGACCATTTTGCAGACCGCAACCAGCCACAACGTAGGCGGCACGCTAACCTTGAAGCTGAGCTAACTGACCTTGATGCCGACCTTCCAGTTGTGCCTGTGCACCAGCCGACGTGATCGAGCCTCCTCTTTCGAGCTCCGTCGGCGCAGCAGACGACGGGAGAACCGGCTGGCAAAGCGAACGTTGTGGCCGCAACCACCCCAGCGCCATCTCTCGGCGGCCGGCTGGTGCGCCGCGGGCGGCGCCAGGTCGCACGTGCAGGCCGTCAGCTGGCCGGCTGCGCATGCGCGCGCTGTTGTGTGCGCGATTGCCGCTGATGTGATGGCGTATAGGAACGCCGTCTCTTTGAAGGCTGCGCAGATGATGGAAAAGGTTTAGTGAAATGTCGCCTCGATGGACCTGCTGCAACAAGATCCCTGAAGGCGAACTCAAATGGAGATTTCGCGTGGTTTGCGCAGGACGCGGCTACCGTTTTTATTTCAATAGAAGAACGGCGGTTTGTAAAGACACGGTGCTTGTAAAGCAAGCATTTTCGTAGAAAATGGCATCCCCTGCTTGATGCCTCTATGTGTACCGGATAAACCGCTTCATTGACGAAGAAATTAAAGCGATGGCATAATCGGTCACGCATGGGCGACCGGTTGCGCCTGAGCCGCAGACACAGGCATGCCCCACTGACAGTGTGCATGATTTACCTACGCTTGGATATTTTCTATACAAGGTTATTTCGAATGGTTTGCGCATTATTTGCGTCGGATTCAGAGTGCACCTGATCGGAGCCTGTTGCTTGCGTTCTGAATCCACCCCTCAAGTCGGGCCTGTCCGGGCCGGTCGAAGATTTTTGCAGCCGGCCTTTTTGCCGTCGGCAAGGCAGGAGGGGAAAGCTGCAGGCCATACAGTGGCAATACAAGTTTGCTTCGTACCTTGACACCAGCAGCTTTACTATCGATGCGAATGACGCCCAACTCGAGCGTTTGCTCTTCTCCGTCACCTTTGCTGTCCCCCCCCCCCCCCCCCCCCAGAACAAAAGATAAATGAGCATGAAGGCGATCTAGGACCAAATCAATGCTGCATACGTATTCAGCCATACTTGGTCATGTTTTGCCACAATATGGACCAGACATGCATGATATCTACCCCAGAGCAGCGCGCCCCTGACCGCCGGTCGTCGGCGGGCCCACCTTTGCGCAGCAGGCGGAGCCGGCCGGGGCCGAGTGAGCAGTTCCAGCGCTGGTCGGCCATCAGCTCCGCGCACGAGGCAACGCTCAGCCGCACCGCCTCCAGCAGCACCCGCTTCATGCCAGGCTGCCGGCCAGAGGGGGCTGACGTGGCGGGCGGTCCGCAGCGGGGCGTAGCCGGCGGCGGGAAGGCTGCAGGTGTGGTTATGTGCACACTTTCGCGGGGCAGCAAGTGGGCGTAATTTTATTACTTTAAATTGGAAAGAGCATGTTCTAACAGCTTTTCTACCGCAATCTGTCTCGACGTGCTGTGCGTGCGGGCGTGTTGTGAGATGATGGTGACGGATGAATCATGATGCTCATGGTCTCAAACTATCAACCCACGTGCCAGACAGTTCGTCAGTGATGAGCTCTGTGTCGATGCCTGACAATACTATCAACTGCTATAGTGTGCGAACGCCATATCATGATAGGCCTTTTCATTTTTGTATAACGTGCCGAATTTTGTCATGTAATCCACAGATTATTGGATTGCAAGTCATCATTTTACCATAATTGTTTCGCAACTGTTCCATCGCAAATACTTTCAAATTTGTGTGTCGATCACCGTTTTGTTTGGTCGGGTGTCGCGAGCAGCCTCCCCCTGAAGACAAAATATCCGCTTCTGAACCAGTGCAATATATATATATATATATATATATATATATATATATATATATATATATATATATATATATATATATATAACACGCATCACTAATTCACGAGATTCGCACCCTGACTGTCGATAGACATTGATTTTTCAAACATTCCATACCATTTGATCATAACAATGGCAATAATTCAGCTTTACGTTCAGAATAAAGTCCTTTAACTACTCACATTAAAGTTGTGCAATGGATGAAGCACTGTCGGGCACAACATATTTGCCAGCTTGGTAATCCTAGTGTTGATTCCGTTAAATTTGGAACCGTTTTGTAGCCTTTAAGCCGCTCAAGGAGTGCCGTTGGTTACCTTTTCAAAGAAATGAAGTGGCGTGGTGGCCGCGTTATTCTTATCAAAACTCGGGTAATCCTTACCATTCGCTCGCACATTTTTTTCTGTTTCTTGGTGGAAAATATGTTGTCCGGGTCGTCCAGATCCAGCGGGCGCGCCGCACTCAACCTGCAACACAGATGCGGTGCTGAAAACGAACAGACTTAGGCGAGTTCCAATTTGTCATTGGGTAGGAGACAAGCGTTTGCTTCAGTCTACCCTATCGAAACATTTTGAGACTTTAACTCGCAGCGTGCTGATCTTGCTTTTAAATCGGCTCCGAGTTGCAGCAGTTTTTCGGACGCGAAGGGACGGGATCTGAATCTACAGTTCACGTCGGTAAAATCGATTCCAGTGGCAATAGCTCAGAATGCGAGGGCAATAATGTGGTCGATGGGCTGTCTTAAGACCTACATGATATGCCTGCGCATGCGTAGTGACTAGGTCATAGTGAACCGTCACACATTACATTTGCTGTGCTAGTTAGCTGGCTTTCACAAATTGGCTGAGTAAGTACATCGATTGTAAGTTGATATTCAGTTGCCTTGCTTAAGTTGGCATGTGGTTGATTCCACCCATTTCAGCCACTCCGTTGAACTTTTTATCATTCGAGCCTTCTGATTTCCCAAGAGTGAATCTCACTTTGACTGTATGAAGCGCGGTTGATCCAGGCATAGATCCAAACTTATGCACATCTGAATGCCCAACACATGATCAGATCAACGCACTACCAGCGGGTGTGTGTGTCAGCAGCATACGAATCTATGCCACTCAACACTGTGCTATTTAAATGGCGGTCAAGCTCTTGTCTAGCTCATCCAGTCCTATATCTGTAACAGCTGCACATATAGTAATCCCTCTACAGTGATGTCTATTTCGCTTCACGTAACGCTGGAGAGACATACCTTCAAGCAGTTGACCATAGCGTGGTGATTTCAAGGACATGGGAGCGTCCTGGATGCAGGCAATTTTTTGCAACGCCCTTCCTTGCAACGAATATGACAACCTGCCACACCTCCATAACGTGAGTTTGCCAGCCGCGCTCATAATCCTGTCACATCTGTGTCAATGCGCCGCGGGTGAAAAGGGATTTGTAGGCAAAATGGCGACGGCTGCTTTGCCTAATATCCTTGCCGCGTTCCAAAGCGAGACTGGTGACCGATCTTCTCGCCAAAAAATACAATGAGCCTGTCATGATAACGTTCTCCGGCCGATTTGCCCGCCTCTAACCAGTTGGGACTCGTGAGGTGGCGGTGTTACTCAGGCACGTAAGCAAACCGACTATAATGCCAGTCACACCAGGCGGACGTAGCCAAGACCAAGCGTACAGGCTTTGATGTCCAGTTTTTTTGTGGAAATAACCCACAAAAATTGTTCTAATTCAACAAACAATTTCACCCTAAGAGGTGACAATCCCACAATATGCAGTCTTAAGTATCGCAACCTGAAGTGAAATTGCAACAGCCCTGCGAAAAAATCGCACACTTATTTCCTTTGGTTTGCACGAAGGTTTTCGGCTTAAATAGAAAAGTGGCATTGGCGAATAAGCCTTAGGTTGTGTGCTGCATGCGGAATCCTAATCCTTGCATGAGAAAGAGCATCACCTCCACTCAATTGTGTAAACTCATCGCGTTGGCATGGTCCGTTGGATTACCACCAGTAGATCCGGAACGTTCTGAATCAGCTGTTTTAGTCACCGAGGCGTGCTGGGTATGGCGCTATTTTGGACACGTCATCATATTTGTACATGTTCGACGAGTCAGACATTTACGCACGTACGAACACCACACCCCTGACTTAACCGCACCCCCCACTTAACGTCTAGTTACGCTATCGGCATTGCAGTGCTTTGGCTTGAAAACCCATCATTTGCGGCCGGCGTGGGTGTAATCTGCTGAACAGTGGCGGCATGGATTTTCGGCAAGGCTGAGCACGGTTTAGCAGACCATCCGACACGTTAGGGTGCGCACGTTTACATGCTCAGTCACCTTCAAGTTAGCATTTCACAGTGGTGAGTATGTCTTGGCCTAGCCAATAATTACGTACGCAATGCGGAAACCACCGGCTCGAAGCCATGACGAAACAGACAAACATTTAGCCAAAGTGAGCATGATAACCCTGCTCTTTCGGCAAAGGCCGGGTGCAGAAGCATTCCATCAGCGATGGACGCGTTGTGCAACAGGATGGGTTAGAATATGTCGCAATTGCACAAAAAAGGGCATTTTGTCCTGGCTTCACTTGTCGAATGTGAGAACGCTCTCTTAAAGAATGTAGCTACATACCGTATTTTATAGATAAAGTTCAATTTATTCGGTGTTTCCGTAGCGAGAACAATGACCACCTGAGCTCATATATTATATTGTTCCTATTGGTAGTGTTAGTTAAATCAATGCATAAAAGCCACCCTGCTTTTCCTAGATTTTACAATGAGCAAAGTATATGGTGGCAATGCACGCGCACACACACACACACACACACACACACACACACACATATATATATATATATATATATATATATATATATATATGTGTGTGTGTGTATGTATATATGTATATACGTACATATATACATGTGCGTGGGTGTGTATAATGTACATGCACGTTGCATGTTTCGGCACGATAAAACAATAAGAAATATACAACTATAAGAGACAACGATATACAACAAAGTAACTGCTGGAAACGGAGCCATCAATCTGAGCAGCTGAGGTAGTCTCTAGATATTCGGATGCAAATGTTCTCTTGTGAACATTTGAACGGCCGTGCGTTGTCCTTTTCAGATGGCTCAACACGCTTATCATCACCCAAATGCGCGGCTTAATGAACACTTGAACGTGTTTTGTAGAGCATTGCATCGGCGATGAATCAAGGCCTTGATAGCAAAGAATACGCTGATATTAAGGGTTTTAGCCTTGTGATATCCCACTTGAAAAATAGCTCGCGAAACGTGTAATGCATGATGGTCATGTATGGCGGTAGAATCAAAGGGTCAAAATCGGTACATTTTCACAGAAGCACCGACACAGGGTCGAGCAAGCATCGTTCGCACGTGCCTGTCTGCATGACTAAAGCCATCGCGGGACGCCGAGGATGACGGAAAGTCGCACCTCTCGGCGTACATCTCCATGCTGCACCACGTCGGCGTCCGTTCTAATCCAATAATGCGGGCATTGGAATGACTCCCTAAGGCATAGGAGCCTACTTGGCTGGGCTGAAGGCGACACAAAAAGCAGATCGAAATTCAAGACACTTCAATTATGACTGCGAGCCGCCAGTTGCCCGGTGTATGCAGCGCAGTGCACGTACTCACCCGATGCCACTGCTGGCGCCGGCCGTCACCGAGCTCAGCAGCACGGCCAGGGTCCAGAGCACGGCGACAGGAGGTCGGCCCATCGTCGTTGACCCATCGGCACCGACAGCTTCGTCAGCCCTCACCGATCCGAAGACTGCAAGCGATCGTATTCTACGACAGCTTCGACAGCTCTTGTCAGCTCCGAAGGTTTCGTCAGCTCCAACAGCTTCCTCAGCCCCGACAGCTACGACAGCTTCGATTACTCTTATCAGTTCCGACAGTTCCAATAGCTCCGACAGCTCCGACAGCTTCGACAGCTCTTGTCAGCTCCGAAGGCTTCGTCAGCCCCGACAGCTCCCTCAGCTCCGACAGCTCCGTCAGCTCCGTCAGCTCGCTCAGCTCCGACAGCTCCCCGCTTCCGGCGGCCGCCCGGCCTCCGCGCTGTCGGCGCGACGCTGCACGGCTCCTGGGCTCGACTGCCAACCCGTTGATGGAGCTCCGCAGCGCCGCCGCACTGACCTGACCCCCGGGTCAGGGGCCGCACTCCTGCAGCGACCGCGGCAGCCGGCGCGCGCGCCCTCTGCCTGCCGCCAGGTGGCGCCGCCGCGACGGACTGGCGGCGCCGGAGGTCGGGGGTCGCGCTGGGAACCGGCGCGGGGCCGGCGCGGGCGGGCTCGCCGCTGCGCAGACGGCCGCCTCCGCTCCGCTCCGCACAGCTCGAGCGCCACCCGAGCCGCCTCCGATCAGAGATAGAGGCGGCCGATCCGTGGCGGCATTCACTCCGGCACTGGGGAGATGAGCTGCCGGCCGCGAGGATTGTAGTCGGCGCTATCGTCGGCATTGTTTCCGGTGGGAGCGCGAGCAGCGCCAGCGGCGGCTCCTCTGGATGCGCCCAGTAACGGACGACAGCTTAATTACGTGACAGAGATGGGGCAGCTGTTGGAATGGGTACCGCTAACGTGGATAAGGTATTTCGTGGGCAAAGCCCTCGCGATATTTGCTTCGCTGCATTGCAGATCGCGTCTTTGGGGCGTTCTTCCGGCGAAGGCTCCAAAGGTCGCGACTCAACAAGAGTTCGGTCGAAGCGGGCACGGGCTTCCGGTGCAGTCACCCAGCCCGCTCACTGTTACTGCGACGGTGGGCACACTGCACGGTGAGTCTGCGAACGGTAGTTTTGAAGCCGGGCTGAGGTTCCGGTAGAACCTGTGCCCCGCAAGTCGCATTTTCGCGACAGATCCAACAAATCACATATTCTAAGCCAGCATGGAGGCATACCATTCTAAGCTATGCTCCGAGGGATCCGGCGTTTCTGTACCACTGATGGATCCCAGTGATACTCCCAGTGCATCTGAAGTTGGGATGGACCCCGTGGTCTGCATCTGGGATTTGCCATGACAGGTGCGTGAGCTAGTGAACTCAATCAACAAACGTCATTGCTCGTGTCGGGGTAAGCCGTTCACGGCATTGACACGCGACGGTGTGGGAGGTTTCAGCGCAACATGAGACCACAGGAACAATGTTGCAAAGAGCCTGGATCGCCACAGTCAGAGCACAGTAGTGTAGCTAAAATAATACGACGGAGAGGTCACTTTAATGTGTGTTGTAATCTTCGCATTCGCGGCACAGCATTTCAACTCACATTCATTTCCGTGATGTGTTTGTTAGAAAGCCAACGCATGTCAGAAAGCAGTGCTGGGGGGGGGGGGGTAATGACGTCATACTGTTCTCTGTTCGAATGTGCACCCGCCAGGCACGCTGACGGGCTTAGCAATAATTCATTTTGCCATTTCTTTGTAATGGTGGAACACATCATAAATGTGGCATGACACCGACGTACTTTTTAAAACAAGCTTCAAGGCTCCTAGAAATGTTGCTGAGTTAGATATTAACTTTCTTTATATCTTAAAACACGCGGTAGCTAGTTGAGGGATTCGTCAACGTGCGTGCCGTGCTTGTAGTTGTGCGCATCTGCGGACCACAGGACCGTGATCCAGAAGTGTTATTTTGCGTAACGTGGTGTCGGCGGTCTAAAGCGAAAGTTGGTCAGATGGTTTGTAACCTTCACAAAAAGTTGCATGGGCCCCGCGAATTGGGAGAGATGCATGTAACGGGCGGCACGACGTACATTTGCCTCTCAAAAACCCAGGAACTCCGCAGAGGTCAGTAAATCGTGTGACGTGCTTGTAGCTGCGCGCATCTTCCAACCGCAAAATCATGATCCACAAGTTTTTTGCTTGACGTAGGGCCGGAAATCTCCATGCGAGTGTAAATCACGTGGCCCGTAAGATTCGTAGAGAATTGGCCGTGTCCCGCCCGGGTGAAATGTAATAAATTGATGAAATTGAATTGAAAGAAATGCATGTAATGTGTGGCACGACTTAAGTTTATCTGTCGCAAGCCTGGGAGCGCCGCAGAACTTAGGTTCAGGGCCACGCACTGCCCGAATTCCGCGCACTCGAATTCCTCCAGCTCTCTTTTGTCCGTGCAAATCAGCAGTGGTGCGATCCTTGTAGATCTACGAGATGATTCGAAGTATACACCTGCAAGATCGTCATTTTTCGGCGTATAGGGCAGCTGCTTTCAAGGCGCAGTGACATCTCCGGCCCGGCTTCTAGCATTGGCTGAGACAATCCCTGTCAAAATGGCTGTGGTCATCGGGAGTCGACCCCGGAACTCCGACGCGCTGATAGCCGCTCACCGCGCTGTCAACGTGCCGGTATTTCCCGTGAGTGCATGCCTATTCACTCAAAGCTGAATGGAAATCCAACCAAATGGTGGTGTTGGCCTTTCCTGCACCTCGCGCCTTGCTTTTTCTTCACACGCTCGGCTAAGCGCGGTCTTTCTCGACAGCGGTGATTGGTGCTTGCAGCGTTGCGGTCGATATATGTGCCCTAGATCCAGCCGATGCACTGGCATCTCCCCTATGCGGACTATTGCAACCGCGCCTGCAGGGACGTATGCCTGCAATGCTCCGCATGCAGCGTTGGCGTCCGACCTGGGCGTGGGAGTGCTCCCCTGGCTGCCTCCGGATGCCACGGAGGATAACATCGGCCCATCACGGCACGGCGCCGTTCACAAACGTCGCCAGCTCAACTGACCACGTTTGTGAACGGAATGGCTGGACTCCGTTTGCTGATAGTGTCTTCGGAGTAATCATGGAAAACGTGTCCGAGGTGGAATGTTTTCTTTTCTTGTGCATGTGAGCTTGTGGGTCCGTCGATGCTTGCTCTTGGGCATCGTTTTAACGATTGGAGGTGTTACTTAAAGAACCTTATAGCCGTGATGTTTGAGATAGTGATGCTGATTTTAGTCTCTCATAAGGAGGGTCTCAAACACTTCTTATTTACGGTTCTGAAACAGCGTTGAATAGCCTGAAAACTCCAGTGTCATTCTGCTTTTGGCATATTTCTTTAGAAAACGCCAGGCTCATTCGCTTTCAAGACTGGTTTCCATCGCCATAGATCTTGTCGAGTCTCCACTTTCCAAAGGAAGCGCAAATAGTGATAATCATCTCTATTATGTCATGCTTCTTTTATGGCCCAAACTAAACTGAATACCAGTGGATCTGGAGGGAGACCACTGGTAGAGCAAAAGACCATAACAGCCGCAAAAACTGTCCAATGTTAGTGCTGCATGCTCGTGGTGCGTAGCCCAAAACACTCTGTGATGAACTCGGCGTGTTTGTAACATGCACTAGCGTAGTGTTGTGAACAGCACGCTAGCCACGGACAAAGGCTGTGAGGCCAGTTGAGCACGGAGAAGCTCCTCCTCCGCCTCACTGCGTTGCCGCCCTGATTGCAGCCAGGGATTTGTATTTGCTTTTGCTGCTTGTCTTGCTTGCTATCCACCTCTCAAGCAAATTAGGTACCAAAAAATTCCCAGGTTTTATTATAACCATGAGTAAATGATGGAGAGAGAGAGAGAGAGAGAGAGAGAGAGAGAGAGAGAGAGAGAGAGAGAGAGAGAGAGAGAGAGAGAGAGAGAGAGAGAGAGAGAGAGAGAGAGAGAAAGAGAGAGAGAGAGAGAGAGAGAGAGGGAGAGAGAGAGAGATACGGAGAGGGAGAGTATGTGTGCGCATTGTATACACTGGACAAGAGCATGAAACAAAGCACGCTTCACGTTTGTTTTCTATATTTCACATGGCTTTGACGGCAGACTTATCCCCATTGCTCAGGCAAGCTCAATATTACAGTGTGTTACTGCGGGCATAGATAGTGCTTATTGGAGAAGCAATGTCATTAATGGAACTCTGAATTCATAGGTGAGCATTTGGAATATCACGTGCTATTTTCCCCGTACTCTGGCTGCTTCAGGATGTTTTCTTGAGCAGGTACGGGGGAAAGCAGTTCATGGTATGCCCGGCCATAAATAGAAATTTTGGTGGACTTATCCGGGTAGTGCGAACGATGAAAATGTCTGTCTCTCGGGCCGACGGGGCACAGACCGGCCGGCGGCCGCCTGCCCCGGACCTGACGGGACTGCGGGCGGACTGGAGCGCCGGTCCCGCCGGGTCCGCGTACCGCTGCCCGCGGAATGCCAGCCGCTGTCAGCGCGGCGCCGCCGGACTGACCCAGGCTGCGGCGCCCGTGTGAACCGGCGCCCGGCCACGCCGCTCAGCAGAGGGAACGTGGAGGACGGACGCTCCATGGCGCATGTGGAAATTTTAGACCTTGCTACGGCCCAGGCAGCAAGGCCCGACTAAATGATCGCAGCTAAATTGAACGCCAGGCTGTTCTTTGACTTTTGCCCAGAAATGATACTAACACTGCTTTGAACGGTGCGATGAACTGCTTTTGGAATGCACTATGGAAGAGGGGAGGATGAAATTCATTCATCCATTAGTTTTTGTGTAAATATCTTCAGAGCAATGAAACGATGTGCATAATTTAGTTGTCAATTTTCGTAGGAGTGCCTAACACCTTGCACAAATAAGCAAATGCGGAATTGATTAAAGTTAGGAAATACACAAATACATCGCCCCACGGTTACTGGATCTACCATCGCCCTATAAAGTTAAAAGTGCGAAAGAGAAGGATGTGCGGAAATCGGAGGAGCCTCATGTGAAACCGATGTGCATCGTGACCTGGGATTTAAGACTCTCTTCTGGTTTCTTTCATTGTAAAGATTATCAAACATGTTGGCCAGGTCTGATATTATCATACTTTCCATTAGGCAGTGACCTTATTTAAGGCAGTGACACAAAAACATGGGAACATTCGTTTCAAACATGTCTAGCCTTACTTAACCCATGCTACGTTGACCTAGGTTCAACACATTTTCACGCCAGAAAGTTTCGTCTATCCTGAACCAACTCTGCAAATGTGGGACCCCTAATTTCTATGCTCCCTGCGATGGAATGCAGAGAATTGAGACACGTTTCCCATGGCGAAGGGTTTTCAGCAGCCTTCCGGCGTGCGGGGTGTGAAGATGAGGGCGGGTGATTCCGCCCATCTCGAGATTTCCTACCATTCCAGCCAGATGTGCCATTCCGTGATTAAATG